ATATTATGTATGATTCTCCCTTGTCTTCCCCATCCTGCTGCTTCTAGAATCACCTTTATTTTCTCAATCCCTTCTGTTCAAGTCTCAAGCTTACAGATTCCACTTCAGCAAAATAAAATATTCTGGCAGCCATCTTTGAAAAACGATTCCTCGACCTGCCATCATGAATTAACCTGCAGCCAGGCCAGATTTGTGTCCTTTTTTTAAGGAGAAGGCACCCCTGTGTCTGCTGGAACATGAAAAGCCAAGTGGAGTCTATGTTTCAGCCCCACCTAGCCTCCTCAGGTGCCCTATTACGAGCACAAACCTTAAAACATACACCATAGCCCTAAATCTCCTTCCCAAGTGCTGGTTAGACTTCACACAAACAAACAGATCTCCCAAGAATGGGAAGCAAGTGCCATCCTGTTAGAAGGCAGACAGGTGTGCATGCGGTAGCACAGTTGTAGAGCATGTGTCTAGCCTGTGCAGGTTCCTAGGTTCCACCCCAGCACTGCATCACAGATCCAGCCTCAGATCAGAAAGCCTGAGCATCCTGAGGGTAAGAGAGGACGAGGGGGCTCAGGGACAGTGCCTGGAGCTCCCAGACTGGCATAGAGAAATAACACCTGCACCCCAGGCCTACCCTAGGGTGTCTCAATACAACCACAGTTGTGTCCCATAGTGAACTCCATCTGTTGCCCCAATTTTAAAATCCTGCAGTATGAAAACCCTTGAAACACTCAGGTGCAGAAAAACTAGGTTCACAGGAGCAGGTTTTGTATCACCTGCAAAACCCTGGTCAGCTGGAGTTTTCTTGTCAGACCTAGGGAAGCCCACCGGTGGCCATCAATTCCTGTTGAATGTTTCTAAGCGAATGTTTCACTATCATAGTCCAGAGTGTGTCAGACATCTGCAGTGCTGGTGAGCAGTAGTTTTTAGGGCTTAGTGATTTGCTCAAGTAGGATGCTTTGCTGCTAGGAGGAGTTGATTTGATACTGTGTTCCAAAGAGTAAAATGGAAATTCAGAGAGGAGTGGGTGTCTGCCCAGAATCATGTTATGAGTCACAGCTGAGCCGGGATAATCCCTTCCCTGTGTTTACCCCACCCACTCATTCATTGGTTCACTCACACAACAGTTACTTTTTCTTTTCCTTTTTTTAGGCAGGGCTAGGGGGTGGAGGAATGTGCAGGGATTGGACCCAGAGCCTTCACACTGAGCTATATCCCCAGCCCACTTTTTTTTTTTTTTTTATTTTCAGACAAGGTCTCACTTAGTTGCTAAATTGTCCAGGCTGGGCTCACACTTATTATGGTCTTCCAGCCTCAGCCTCCCAGAGTACTAGGATTACAAATATACACCACCATCCCTGGCTCACATGCAAAACAGTTACAGAGCACCCACTAGGTGGCAGGAACGGTGCTTGGTGCTAGGGACAAAATGCTGACACAAAGTCTCCGCCATCACCATATTTGAGACAGTAAACGAATAACCAAATGGTCAGCAAATGGTCTGAACAGAGAGGTCAGGAGAAGCCGCCTAGAGGAGGGAAGAAGAAACTGCCGCTTAATGATGTGAAAATACCCGTTATGGAAAGAACCAAAAGAAGGGTATTTCCACCCAAAGGAACTGCAAAGACACCAACACTTTCGAAACCCCAAGCCACCTAGGACAGCTGCAGCGAGCATGGGGAGTAACACTGGGAAAGGACCCAGTGAGGTCAGGAAGATTCAGCAGGCTTCGGCAAGGAGATTAGATTTGGTCTGAATGTGACAGGAAGCCATCTGGGCAAGAGAGAGTGGTGCTCTGGTTCTGAATTCTAGAAGGGGCACCCAGACTCTGAGCTGCCAGAGCTTACCCTCCCCAACTTCCCAGTGCTCCTCGGTGCCCACTCGTCACCATCTGGCTTCAGTACTGCAAAGAGGGCTGTCCCCTGCTGTGTCCCACCCATGACAGTGGAACCATGTCAACCTGTTAAGGCCCTGATGTCCCCCACCCCACCCCCAATTTATATGTTGAAATCCTAACCCCACTGTGATAGTATGAAGAGCTGGGGCCTTTGAGAGATAATCAGATCATGAGATCACCCTCGGGAATAGGATCAGTGCCTTTATAAGAGAGACGCTGAGAGCTCTCTCACCCTCTTTCTGCCACATGAGCTATAACAAGAAGAGGGCCACCTTCAAACCCAGAATGAGCCTTCCCCAGACACTAAATCTGCCCGCGCCTTGGCCTGGGACCTCCCAGCCTCCCTAACTGTGAGAAGCTTGCTACTCTATGGTACTCTGTTACTGTTACGGCAGCCTGAACAGACCAAGATGTTGCCCTTGCCTGCTCTCCACTGCTAGGGCTGCAGAGAAAAGCCACACCCAGCAGGTAGCCAGGCTGGAAGCCTGCCAGTCAGTCTTGTCCAGCTGGGTACTTCTGACATAGGCCAGACATCCTCCAGGTCTGGGGGTTTCCAAAGACTGTCTCCTGGCTCCAGAAGAGGAAGTGGTAGCTGCCACACACCCTTCCCCTGTGGTTGCTGACTGCTGGGTGAGGGGTTTCCGAGGCTCCAAGACGGGTTGTGTCTGCCCTGGAATTTCATAGGTTCCAGGCAAGGGCGGAGGCTGGACAGGAAAACTGTCAAGGTGCCCAGCAAAGTCAGAGAGTGGAGGGGAGAGGCCACACAGACTCATGCTATTTGAGTGCCCCACTCCACGTCATGCCCGCTGCCTCCTGTGATGGGGGTGAAGTAGACACGGCGGCAGCAGCCAGGGCTCCCCAGCCAACAGTAGGGGCACACCACACACAGTACTTCCCTGCAGCGCTCTCCCCAGAAACAGACCATTACATATTCAGGCACTCTTCCTAACAGTAATGGTATGGCAGAGAAATGAGATTGGTGACCATTTCAATAAATTCAACAAGTAAACAGGTGCATTATAGAGCCCCGTGTGAGAAAGTCAAACCAAAGATTTCAGAACAACAGTTGCCAGCATTTGTAGAGAACAGAACAGCATTGTTCTAAATCCTTTGCACATCTTCACTCAGCTTAAGCCTCCCAAGGTTGGATAAGGTTGTTGCAGCAGCAAAAAAGGAGAAAGCTCCATGACTTGGTTAAGAAAGAAAAGACTGATGTGGCTGGGTTACTTAAAGTTGGTAACTTCATCACAGGAGCCCATGAAGTGAATTCAAATACAAAGCACAGGAAGGAAATGGATGCTGAGAAGCACACAGACCCAAATGAGTCCATAAAGAATACCTACAAACTGATAAAAAATAATTCAATGAGAAGACAGACTTGAAAAGATACTTCACTGAAGAAAAGCTAAAGATGGAAAGTAAGCCCATGAAAAGATGCTTAGCATCATTAGTCTTCACTACAGTGTCTATGATACAAAATACCAACATGGCCGAGTGTGAGTGAGAAGGCAGAGCACCCAGATCTCTCATGGGCTGCTGGTGGGAATCCAGAATGGCAGGGGCATGCTGGAAAATGGCTTGGCTTAATTCTAATACAGTTGAAACTATTCGAACTTGGAGACCTGGTAATTTCACCCGGGAAAATCACATAGGGCCAGGTGTGGCAGCACACATCTATAATCACAGCACTCTGGGAGGCTGAGACAGGAGAATCACAAGTGAGAGCCTAATTTGGGCAACTTACTGACCTAGTGAGATCCTGTCTCAAAACAAAAAAGGGTTAAGGATGTAATTCAATGTGAAGTTTCTGGGTTCAGTTCCCAAGTACCTCCCCCAAAATCACACGTTCTTGGATAAATGTGCAATATAACCAGCAGCACTGATCATCAAGACCATGCTAGAAACAATGTAAATATGCATCAAGAGACCAAAAAAGGATAAATAATAAGGTATTCAAATAACATAGCAATGGAAGTACATATTTAAAAACTCTAGCTACCACACAAACACACACAATCAGTGAATCTTACATAAATGTTGAGTGAAAGAAGAACATCAAAGAATACAAACAGTATGTATGGCTCAATTTACATAGAACTCAAAAATAAGTAAAATGAGACTCAAGTATTTAGGGTCTATTCATAGGTAGGAGATTTATAAAGAAAGGAAGCGACCCCATGAGAATCAGGGCTGTGATCATCTCTGCTGGGAAGACACATTGTGGATTTCTGGGGAACGGCAGCAAGGTCCTATTTTTAGTTCTGCCCCAGCTTCTTGCCCTTAAGGCCATAAATACTGGTGGCCATGTGTCACATCACTGCCCAAACATTTGACTTTCCTGGTACTTTCTGTACACAGTGCTGGGTACAGCTCTGCACAGATGGAACTCTGAGGTCACCCCATGCCCTTCCATGTCAGGCACCAGTTCTGTGTCCCACCAGCTCTGTGCTCCAAGCCTCAGTTTCCTCTCTGTTAATGAGATATAGTGGGCCCCATTGTGCCTAGCTTGCAGGACTGGATACCACATGTTAAAGGGCTATAATATGGATGTATCCTCCAAATTTACAGTTGAAAGTTTGGTCCCCAACCCCATAATGTTGGGAGATGGGGCCTAGTGATCGGATCATGAAGGTGGACAGTCTTCATAAATGGATTGATGCCATTACCATGAAGTGGGTTAGCTGCAGAGAAGTGGGTCCCTTTTTGCCCTCTCTTTTGCTGCGCTTCTACTTCCTACAATATTATGACACATAGGACAGGAAGGTCTTTCCCCAGACACTGTCACAGTGTCCCTGGAGAACTGTGTACCAACTGAACTTCTTTTCTTTATTATGTACTGAGTCTGTGGTCTTTTGTCACAGCAACAGAAAAGGAGGGAAAGGGAGAGCTCTGGGAGCAAATATCTGAATGCCAGGCTAGTCCAGGTCTCCAAAGGACAAGGAGGCTGCTGGGAAGTGAGGCCAAGCTAGACTCCCTCCTGAGAGCCAGCCCTGCACTGCCCAACTCCACCCTGTTGGCTGCCAAAGAAGACCCGGCTGCTGTACACCATCTTTCAGCAGCCAATGGGCTGGGAGATCAGGAGCAGGTCACATAGCCCATTTCCTGTTTTCAAACGGGGAACTTAACAAAGCGGCAGCCACTTCACCACTTGCTGGAGCTTGAAACAGAGAAGCAAAGGGGACATGTGACCTTCTCTTGGACCCCCGACACACACAGGTCCCGAAGACCTCAGGTCAGTGTTAGATCCCAAGCTCAGCTGGCCTCTGCCCACTGTGGAACCCATCCCCATCTCCTGTGACCCTCTCTCTGTACCTGTTGGAGGCACGGTGGGACAGAGGAGGGTTGATGACAGCCGGGGGGGGGGGGGTGCTGTACTTAGCACATTGGGAGGCAGTAGGCAGGGAATTCCCATCCCTCCACCCTTGTCACCTTAATTCCTTCTGAAATGCTGGACACTTGTACAACCCATCTCAATCCTGGGGAATAAGTCACTAGGCCTCAGTGTCTCAAAAAGTGGGATCAGCAACCTTGCATCAACCTAGCAGGGACCCCAGGGAGACCTGTACAAAGTGTAGACTCCAGGGCCCACCCCACACCTGCTACCTGGGACTCTGGGCCTTGCACGCTGGGAAATCTGCTTTGGGGCAAGGCCCCCGCACCCTACCTCACCCCAAAAGGAGATTCTGTTGCACAGGCATATTGGGGAGCCCCCGCCCTGGAGGGCTGCTCAGGTGAGCATCCCAGGTGTCCTGTAATATCCAGCCTGGCCCAGCTGTGCATCCAATGCTCAAAGCGCTTTTCTCTCTCGGGTAGGCCAGGGGGGCTGTGTTTCACTCCACTAGAGGCTCCTTCAAGATGAAAAGTCCTCTGCAGCCTCCTCAGAAAGGTGGCATGGGCTCTGCAGGGGTCTGTGTGCCCATCAGAAAGAGGATGAGACATGGCAGGAGCTCTTGAGGGGGGAATCGAGGGTCAGGAACATGGGAGACAAGGAGGAAGAGAAGGACTGGCATGCATGAGGAGCAGCGGGGTACACAGGACTGGGAAGCTGGTTGTCCTCTGGGCCAAGTGAGGCCCCCAAGCCAACAGTACCAATGTTTGCAGAGTTTTGTTGTCACCTAGGAACCTTTGCCACTAAGGCTACAGAGGGGAAGGGAGGACCCACAGAATCCCTGTGTGGCTGTCTCCAAAGGCTGTTTGGAGTAACAAGATGGCTGCCCCACTTCACAGGTGGGAAACTGAAGTCTAGAGATGGACAGGAAGCTGCTCAGGATCCCACGGATGCACCAATGCATGATTCTTTCCCTTCTACTCCTCTTTAAATGGGTGGTTCCCAGCCAATTCCCTAAGAGGAAATGTAAGAGAGCTGGCACTGGCTGCTGAATTTGATTTTTATTCTAAGCTCTGGTTTCATGATCAGCTCTCCCAGGTCTTTACTGGAACACACTGCCAAGGTGTCATTTCTAGGGACTTAAAGCATCTCTGGGAAAGCAGTGCTGTGCTTCTGACCTGGCACCAACTGCTGGATCAGGAAACCAGAGCCAGAAGGGCTGGGACCATAGACCCTAATGTCACTCAACCATTGCCCATTTTACAGATGAGTGGACTGAGGCTGTTGCAGAGGCATGCCCCCGGGAATATTCTGGGTCCCCACAAAAGCCTAGGCACCAAGAGTCTGTTAGATAAGAGAGCACGTGGACCACCTGCGGCCTTGCTTAGACAAAAATATGGCACATCCCTAGCCAACTGTCATCTCACCAGCAGGACAGGGCTGTGGCCCTACTTTGCCTGTGAGGAAATGGAGACCTTGCCTAACACAGTGAGTTGGAAGGAAGGCCACTGCTCATGACTCCTGTGAGAAAAATAGGGTGTGGGACCTACTCAGGCATGTGTAGCTCTGGGCCTGTCAGGCCCTGCCCTGTACCTCAGTTTACCCATCTGTAGAAGGAGGGGGTAGATGGAAGGTCCCAGGGGCACCCACTGGGCAACTGTCCAGAGGCCGCCTGGAGATTGCTTGGGGTTCCTTTGCCCTGGTGTAGCCAGAGCACTGCTGAGCCACAGGCTGCAGGCCCTGCTAAGGGCCCCTCCTTGGCTAGGCCCACTGGAAAAGGCTGCTGTCTCAGCAGGGACATAGGAGGGGACAATGCAGTAGCAGTAACCCCACTTTCCTCCCTCAAGGCAACAGTCAGCTAGAGGTTTCATCTGGGGACTGGAATCCAAGAGTCTAGGGTTCAAGTGGCAGCATCCCCATGAGTTCCACATGAAGCTCTCCTGGGTCCTGATAAGCAGAGGCATCACCAGCCCTCCTTATTCCTAATCTCTGCTCCCACACAGAGCCCCCGCTACTTGCTCCAAGTGAATAGTCCCACTGTCCCTTCTTCTAACGTGAAGATAGTTGTAATTCTATTCCAGCTTACACCTTAGTTGAGAGCCACTTATTTCACAAGTACTTGTCAAAGCATCCCGCTCCTAATAGCAGAGACAGCCACTCGGTGCCTCGTGTGTGGGGGGGTCTGAGCTGATGCCTCACAGAGCTGCTGGCTCAATCTGCACACCAGATTACACCCATTACGCCCATTATGCCTATTGCGCCCATTTTCTAGGGAGAAGTTGAGAAATGTGCCGGCCACCAGGTCATCTAGTCTACTTACCAGGATCACAGAGTTGCTGTGTAAACTGGACCCCTGCTGCCCACCCTCCCGACTCCCCCCCATGTAAGACAGAGTGGGGTCTGCATCAGGTCTGCTCGCGTTTGTGTCCTGGCAACACATACCATGTCTTGCTCTTGGGGAATTCCAGTTCTTGGTCCCTTTATCACAAAGTGGAGATAAAAACAGTCCCCATCTCAGGATGTGGTCAGATTCAGGGAGGCAGCAAGTTGAGCTTGGAGTACATAGGCAACACTTCACAAGCATATGAAACTCGGGTTCCCTGATCAGCCATGTGACTCTAAGCTAGACCTCAGTTTCTTCATCTGTTATTTGTGGGGAATGCTAGAGTTTTGTGGACATCAAATTAAATAAGGGGGTGTCAAGAGGTAGGTAATATGAAGTAGGAACAATATGTTGTCAGTGTTTACTTGAAAATAGATAAGATAGATGATGGATAGCCAGATACATAAATAGAAATTTGCACAGTAAGATAAAATTGAATACTGAGACATTTATCTGGACAAGCCAGCATCTTTCTTCCAAGTATTCACTAAGCCATTACCTTCATTGAAATGACCTCATTTAAAACCCAAAGCAACTTGATAGCTCTGGCATCACAACAGTATAGGGTTTGTGCCACCTTAAAGGGTCTATGCCACCTTGGCACCATCTGTCCAGCTGAGGGCAGACCCAAGTGTGATCCGGCAGCAGGGGGCCAGTGTCATTCCCTGAGCCCACCAGCAGTGAGCATGACATGGCTCCTGTGGGGACTCCAGGGCCCCAGCATGAGTGGGCACTCACCGGTCTCCCCTGTGCTCCCAGCAGTCTAGGATCATGGCAAGTGCTGAGCACCCTGGGAGCCCTGGCTGGACGGGATCCATGACCCAGGGCATGGCGAGGACCAAGCAGGAAGCACCTACCACTGGCCCAGACCTCCCACGTCCAGAACCTGAAGGATACCTAGGTGGGCTTGAGGCTTGGGGCTCGGGCAGGGAACAGAGATTCAAAGACATGTGAAGTATAAACAGGGCTCACTTCAGTGGCTGTGTCAAGTCAGCTGGGCAGCTCTCTTATGTGGGTCATCCCAAAGCAAGCCTTGAGCTGGGAGATGATCCCAGGAGGCAAGGCAGGGAGCAGGGACACCGGGGGAAAGGGCAGGAGGCTTCCATAGGGGATCAGTGATATTGGATGACTAGGGTAAGTAACCGGGTCTCAGTCCCAGAGAGGGTCCTCTGGAAGGTGCATGGAACATGTCTGTTGTTGCATCTGAGGAGGCTATTATCTACCAGTCCCATCTTGCATCAGCTGAGGAAGGGTCCTAAGCGTGCTCCTTGTGCCCCAGAAGCTCTCAAAGGCCAAAGTCCTAGTTCCTTCTCTTAGAAAGCCAGCAGCACCACCTAGAAGAGTGAGTGCCAACGGGGACCTGGCCCAGAACCGATGACACCTACCTCCTTTTACCATCTCTTGAGATGGACTCACTGACCAACTGCTGTGCCTCTTGCAGGGAAACAAGCAAATCAAACCTGTCCTGGCCCTCAAGCTCGCCAGGGAAACATCAGTGGAAAGTTAGAAATGCAAAACAAAGGCTAAAAGGACAAGGTGGGAAACTCTGGATCAAATGCCAAGGGGCGAGTAGAATGACTAGTGGGTTAGGTGGACACAGGCTTTTGGGGCTCAATAAATGCACAATTATGTTAAAATTAGGAAAAGAGTCTAAGCTTCCTCAGAATTCTCAGGGGCATAGGGCCCAAGGGAGATTTCAGAAACACTATGTAGGGGAATGGGAGAGCGGGATTCGCAGCAGAGGAGCAGCACACATGAGAAAAAGCAGGGCCCATGGGCCCTGAGATGGAGGAACACAACATCTTCTAGCTCTGGTCACCAAACTGTCGTGTGCTCAGGAAGTCCCCGCAGCACGCACAGAGTCTGTGTGATAGGGCGTACAGAAGTAGACAGGCCGGGTCCCTGCTTGTCAGGAACATGGGGTTTCACAACAGCCAGTCTGCAGGCGGGAAGTAAATGATGTAATGAACAGAGCTGCATTTCACAACCAAGAAACAGGTGGGGTGATCGGCTCAGCAGTGAGGGACTCAGCCAGGCAGGGCACAGGGGTGGGAGGAGGGGACAGATAAATAGTGCTCTAACAGGGGTAGGAGTTCTGATGTCCCTTCTGATGACGGGGCCACCTCTTCAGGCCCTTGCCTCTAAAGTGCACTGACCTGCTGCGAGTCCCTAAGGGTGCTGTCCTTCCAGGTGGCCCCAGTGGCCAAAGCTCCAACTCCAGCATGACCACACGGGAGCTGCAGGAGTACTGGCGGAGTGAGAAGGGCCACTGGAAGCCCGTCAAGCTGCTCTTCGAGATCGCCTCGGCCCGCATCGAGCAGAGAAGGGTCTCCAAGTTTGTGGTGAGCTGAGAGGGGAAGTAAGGGAACCCCTTTCGCTGCCTCGTCCCGGCCCTGGGCAAGTCCTGGGGATCCTCCGCTTTCCCAACCATAAAATGGGCGGAGGACACCCTCTAACTCACAGCATTCTTCCAGAGAACATGACTGAAGACCTAGGCTTCATGCTTGGCACTGTGCTAGGTCCTGTGACATCAGAGCATATTAGTCAAGCCCCAGGTCCTAAGAAGTCAACAGGCCAGTTTATTCCCATGTCACGGGGTATTCGTCACCTGTGTTACCTTTCCACCGATTTCATTATATCCTTGCTCACTCACTTAATTTTTTTATTTAAATCGGCTCACTTTCTAAAAACATTAAATATATTTAAATGAAAGACCAGTATTAGTCAGGGGATGGTGGCACACGCCGCCTGTAATCCCAGCACTCTGAGAGGGTGAGGCAGGAGGATCACAAGTTCCAGCGCAGCCCAGGTAATTTAGCGATTTAGTGAAATCCTGTCTCAAAAATAAAATACAATAGGGCTAGATAGCTCAGTGTGAAGGCCCTGGGTTCATTCTGGTACTCAAAGAAGAAGGAAAAAACCCCCCAAAAAACAGAATTGCGGGCCAAGGGTGTGGCTCAATGGGAAATGTCACCTAAGCTGCTGTGTAAGGGTCTCTCTCTGGCCGCAGATGTATCAGATCGTGGTCATCCAGACAGGCAGCTTCGACAGCAACAAAGCTGTGCTGGAACGGCGCTACTCGGACTTCGAGAAGCTGCAGAAAAGCCTGCTGAAGTCCTACCGGGAGGAGATCGAGGACGTGGTCTTCCCCGGGAAGCGCCTGACGGGGAACTTCTCGGAAGAAATGATTGGCGAGCGCAGGCTGGCGCTCAGGGAGTACCTGCGCCTGCTCTACGCCATCCGCGCCGTGCGCCGCTCGCGTGAGCTCCTGGACTTCCTCACACGGCCGGAGCTGCGCGAGGCCTTCGGCTGCCTGCGCGCCGGGCAGTACGCGCGCGCCCTGGACACGCTGCTACGCGTGGTGCCGCTGCTGGAGCGCCTCACGGTGCACTGCCCCGCCGCCCCGGTGCCCGCGCTCTGCGCAGTCTTTGTGTGCTACCGCGACCTGGAGCGCCCCGCCGAGGCCTTCGCGGCCGGCGAGAGGGCCCTGCGGTGCCTGCAGGCCCGGGAGAGCCACCGCTACTACGTCCCTCTGCTGGAAGCCATGGTGCGCCTGGCCTACTCGCTAGGCAAGGACTTCGCGTCGCTGCAGGGGAGGCTGGAGGAGAGCCAGCTCCACAGGCCCAGCCACCGTGGCTTCTCCCTCAAGGAGCTCAGTGTGCGAGAGTACCTGTCCTGAGAGCCATCTCCACTGCGGTGGGCTGTCTGGGGCTCGGTTTAAAGAGAGAGGCACCAGGGGACTCTGACTGCTGGGTGAGTTTGGACCAGCCTCTACCCTGATCTGCATTGAACGGAGGGGCCTGCTTGTATCTCGTGCCCCCTGCGTGCCAGCTCAGTTCATCTCAAAACCACAAACCCCGCAGTCAATTCTGGAGAGTAATTAGAACCTTTTCTGTGTTTTTATGGAGAGTGGCAGGAGATGTTTACATCCAGATTAAAACATAGCTCAATCCATGTCCCGGAAGACCCATGTCTCCAGCCGTGCTGGGTCTTTCCATTGCTCTTAATGTCTCAGTATTGCTTATAAATAGTCTCTCCCTCCCTGTGTGGTGGTGCATCCCTGTAATCCTACCACTCTGGGACGAAGAGGCAGGAGGATTGTGAATTCCAGGCCAGCCTGGGTTACACAGTGAGACCCTATCTCAATAAATGAATAGTCCCACTCATCCTAATATGCTAGTGCTTCCCCTTAGCATGTAGACAGTCAAAAGCTCACCTATTACCCCCCAAGGACAGCTTCTCCCCCTCAACACCAGCTGGAGGCTATGTGTTATCCTTTGAGGAGCAGGAGGCCAAAAAGCAATAAATAGCACCATAAGATTCTATGACAGGTATTTTCAGCAAGGTAAGGGGCCAGTGATATCCTGTCTAGGGTGCAGTGACACAGAACCTAGGGCTGGACTTTCACTCACAAGACAGCTGCTCTTTGCATGGCTTCCCTGGAGGGAGGAAGAATGAGGTCTGTCATGAGATTCAGTCCTCAAGGACCTCCCCTTTTGAGGGTCAATATTCCTGGAACCTCTCTGACAAGCTGAGGTGGCCTTGATTGAATTCCACTGTCAGAAAAGAATGCAGCACCAACCCCAGCATGAAGAGGAGTCTGGCCCAGTGGGCTGAGTCTGGGCCAGTATAGGCCCAGTGTGTGTTTGAGGCTGAAAGCCCCTGAAAACCTGAAGCACTGGCTGAGCTTCTCGGGGTGTGACTTGGAAACAGGAATGTGGGGTACCACTTTGGTCTGTGCAGTAGTCTGGTCAAGGAAGAAAACCAAGCAATGGAGTAGAAATCATTCAGAAAACCACATTGGAATCTGTTTAACAGCGACACTGTGTGGTGACCTCTGTAGGGGCCTTGCTGGGCCCTGTCGTGGAAGTGGACCCCTCTGGACAAGGCAAGCTGAAAGTCTCAGTTTACTCCTAGAAAAGCACCTTCAAGCAGGAGAGATGAGATTGCTTGAAAAGCTGGGCTCATAGAAAATTATACTCTACTTGGAAAAATAAAAGCTGTAAGCCTGTTTGTAATGGTGAAACAGATCTTGCTGGTGTTCTAAATTATTTCATCAAATCTAAAATGTTGTCAGTTGTAAAATGCACCAAATATTCACTAAGAAGAAAAAATTCCCAACATGAGGAGTTTGATAAATTCCAGGAGAAAGCTGGGAGGCCAAAGGGTTAGATCCCCAGTGTAACAGAATAAACCCGTGTGACAAAACTCATGTTGACATTTAATCCCCAGGGTGAGGAAGTAGAGGGTTGAAACCTTATCTGACTATGGTGTTTGGAGGAGGAACCTTGGGAAGTGATTAGGATTGACAGTGTGCTCAGGATGATTATACTTCTGACCTTAGAAGAAGAGCATGAGAGACACACACTAGCATGCTTGATCTTCTCACTGCCTTGGGATTCTGCCAACTAGGAGGAAGAGCCTCATTAGATGCAGCCCCTAGGTTTCTCACCTCCAGAACCATGAGTTTAATAAACCTTTATTCTTTACAAGTTACCTACTCTGCTGTGTTCAGTTATACCAACAGAAAACAGGCTACGACACCTGCTAGGTAAACAGGGACAGTGAGGACATCTGTATGAATCAGTCTTGGCACTCGGTAGAGGAAGGGAAATCTCTGAGAATCTGGCCTGCAAGCCAATGCCACCCACGTTTGGGGGCCGAGTACACACAGCATGGTCCAAAATAATTCAAGTGGAACGGTTCTGTTGGAGTGGTTTCAGATGGAGGTGTACCTGGCACTGCAAATACAAATTCTTTAAAAGGAAGTCAACACAGATCTAGGTCAACAAAGAGTGTGCATTATTAAAAGATTTTTTAGAAGATATGCATCTCAAAATCACATAGGTGTCATGCATATGTGTGTATCGTGTCCACACAGAAAGAAAATGCATATATGGGGTAGAAAGGACCTACAAGGTCACGAAAGGGAGTTCCCCACCAGTGTCCCTGAAGAAGGGCTGACTTCCCACATAGACTTATTCTGGCTTCCTGAGAAGGAACTGCTACCAAGGGCAGCCTTGGGGCCGAGGCTCCCCTCTTCCTTATGACACACAATGCTGCCTTCTCCATTTCTTCCAACAGCCACAGTCTGCGGGCCCACTGGAATTTCTGCTGGCCTCACACACCATGTCTTCATCCATGACAGTTGTCCAACAGCCTGGGATGCCACAGTGGCTATCTTCTCCTGATACCAGCCGTTCATTGCAGGAGTTAGACACCCACTCATTTCTTGGATTCCTGAGGTCCCCTCTTCTAGAGATCTTTCCTTGTGGCCTGCCCAGGGTGCCCCTGGGGTACCCACTTCTCTGTTGGCCTGGAGCCCTCCCACTGCATCTGTATAACTCAGTCCCTGTCTCTGGGAACTTTCAGGGTGGGGGCAGTTGGAACCAGACCTTTCACCTTGCTTTCTCAAAGATGGGCCCACAGGAGAGGTGAGGAGCTCTGTCTGGATGTTCAGGATGGGGCCTTGGGTGCCAGCAACAATCTCCCTGGAGATTGAAAGAAACATAGATTCTCAGGCCCACCCTAGATCTGCTGAATCAGACTGTGCATTTTAACAAGATCACCCCCAGCCTGCTCCCTGACCCTCGGGGGGCTCCAGGTGGCAACACCAGCCAGCCTCACAACCCTGGCCATCCGATGGCTCTGAGCACTCGCCCTGGAGCCTGAGGGGCCAGAGTCCCCTGCTTCCCCGTGGATGGGAGCTGGCAGGTGTATGACTGTGTGACAGCACTGCTGCCCAGCCCTGCTGGGACCACTGGACACAGACACCCCGAAGGGCTGAGTGACCTGCCAGGCTCACACAGCTACCAACTGCTAGAGCAGGGAATTAGGCTCGGGCCTGTCTGACTCCTCACTGAGGGCCACAGTGAAGGAGGAGAGGGGAGGGAACATGTATGTCCCTGGTCCTCTCAAGATTCTCCAAGGCCATTTCACTCATCTCTGTTTACAGATAAGGGAAACTGAGGCCTAAAGTGGTCATCCGCTCTAGGTCACACAGTCAGGGACAGCACTAGGACCAGACCAAGGGTGTCCATGTCAAGGTTATGTGTTCTGACAGGCAAGGCAGGCAGGCAGGGTATTCCTGGGTTCAAATCCCAGGGAGCCCTTGGGGTCACCCAGCTAGACCTGGGGCTGCAGATCAGTGTCCAGGCCTTGGCAAGCCACCAGTTTGGCTTGGTTTCCTGGCTCTAGGCCACCAGCTCAGCTCAGATTGGGCTCTGGTCCCCAGCCCTCATTCCCCAAGCTGTGACTCTGCTTGAGCAGCTAAGTCAGTGCCCGTGCTGGGATGGGTTGGGGCGCTCCCAGTGTGTCCCCAGTGGGGACCCCCACAGGCTCAGGAGCTGACCTTCCTGAACTGCTCCTTCAAATGCTGCTTTTTTGGCTCAGTCGCACACCTGCACCTCTTCCCTTTGGGGCCTAATAGTGTCACCAGCCATTTTGTTATCTACTTGCTAATTTCCTTGTAGCAGTCTCTTTTTACTTATGCAAATTTATTTGAAAAAGAAGCTTCCTATTACTTCCTATTATTATCCTAAGCAGAAAAATCAAAATCATGCTATAATTAGAAAGGATCTATAAAAATAAACACAGTGAACCAACTGTGCTGTGATTATCACCCCAACAGGCCTCTGCTTCAGACAGGCTACTGGAGGTCCTTGATTTTTGGGGGTTTTTTGCTTTTTATTTCTGGTACTAGGGGTGAAACCCAGAGCCTCGCACGTGCTAGGCAAGTGCTCTACTGCTGAGCTACACCTCCAGTCCACATGGTCCTTGGTTAAAAGAGAGAAAAACAGAAACAGAGAGAAGCAAGTGCAGAGACCTGGTATCACAGGCAAAGCTTCCCTTTGGTTTCCTTGGGAGGACTGAAAAATATTGCAAGAGAAAAGAAGTTTCTGACAAGTGCTCCTGCATCCAGCATCATTGCAGACCAGCTGGGTCTCACCCAAGCTGCCTCTCCTCGTCCCCATGGCCCTGGTCTCCCAGTCCCCAAACCCTATGTCAGGGCTGCTGGCTCCCCAGTTCCTAAGGCTTGGGCTTCACATCCCATTCAGGAGGTAAGGGGGCTCGGGGACTGACTTCACCCTGATACTTACCAGGCAAAAGGGACAGATAAAGGGGGTGTTTTGATTGGTCACTGCCTGCACCTGCGAAGGTCACCTGATGGTGCCACACCATCTAGCTGTGTCACTAAAAAAGCAAGAGGCCTACACTGAGCCGTCCCCACCGAGCAGCACCCAGAGGGAGCAGGCCTCTCACCACTGTCCCTCCCAGTCATGTTGACAGCTGCGGGTACAGCAGTGACCAGGACAGACCCAGTCTCTGCCTCATAGACACAATGGGTCAGAAAACACTCACATAGCAAGCGGAAGCCAGGACAGAAGGAGGGTCCTCAGTCAGGGGCCTGGAGAGGGCTTCCCGGAAGAGCATCTGTTCCAGAGTCACCCTGATGCATGAGGGCCACCGTGGGGTATGGGGAGGAAGGACTCAGGCAGAGAGGATGCTGGAGCTCCCTCAGCCCAGAACCTCCTCTGACCCCCAGGATTCTCAGTTCACGTCTGCCTAGCCTTCCCTGGCCCTGACGTGTCACCCCAGCTGAGCCACTTAGAGATGGGTTCTGGGGACCAACAGATCAAAGCCCACCACAGTACATCTAGGCCATTCCCCATTGCTGGTGCCTGGCTTGCTGCAGGGGAAAGAGCCCACAGACCCTTCAGTCACAAGCTACAAAAATCCCAGTTAACCGACAAGGAAGAAAGGTATTGTCTGCAAAGTCCAGAAATAGACCAGCTTCCAGCCAGGTTGGGTCCACAGACTCAGACTTTGCTGTCTGGTCTCTGGTTCTCTCACTTTTGTTTTCCCCACCTCTGAGTTCTGTTTTCCTCTACTTACCTCCTCTCCTCATCGTGACAAGATGGCTGTAGCAGCTCCAGTGTCACGTGCTCCCTTCTTAGCAACCCCAGAAGTCTCCTGCGCCCAGGGTTCTTGTGAGGGGAGGGCAGTGGCCTGGCCCTGAAGTGCACAACCACAATTAGCATGTCCCCTGAGCAGCCATGAACAGAAATAGTTCTTGAGCATATTGTTTTGTGGTCTGCTTTTTAAATTACAACTGCATACCATGAGTGCTTCCCTAAAACAGATAATATTCTTGCACACTGTTTTTAGTGGTTTCATTGTATTCTAACACAGGTGCTGTTACCATGCAAAGTTGGAATGTCTCCCCAAAGCCTCATATGTTTGGAAGGTGACTGGATCATGCGGGGCACTGTATTAGTACCCTGATGAGTTCATAGCTGACTTGGTATTAGGAGGTGGTCACTGGGGACACGGCCTGGAAGGGTGCATCTCCCTCCCCAGCTCCTCCCTTCTCCCTCTGCTCCCAGCCACCATAATGTGAACAGCTTTCTTCTGCACCTGGCCCTTTTGTTGAAGCTGGACTTAAAGAAAAACAAGTCCTTCCCAGCCTTGGGAAGCCCCTCCCAACACCCCCTCTCCCCTGTAACCCCTTGTTCTGGTACAGATAAAATTGACAACTGTGTCCTGTAAACAAAGTTTATGACATTCTGTTCTCATATGATTCATAAGACACTGACTTCTTTCAAGCCAAAGTTACAAAACTATCTGCATTTTCCTCTTCTGGTAAACTTACTTGCTACATCACCAGGAAAACCACCCCCTTCGACAAAATGTATAAAAGCTAGAACTTCTCTTTGTTCAATCCTTTTCCTTTGGACAGGAGTTCGTTGAGCCAGTGTACACCTTCAGCCTGAAATAAAGTCCTCCTGTTTCAGTCCATGGGTCTCTCCAGTTTCCTGGAGTCCTGCAACACTGCACGGTTTCTACATATGAGCCTGCCGACCCTGGACAGAAACTTCTACAACTAAACCAAATTAAACTTCTCATTAAGTTGAGGGTGTCAGATATTTTGAACTGGTGACAGCAAAGTAAATAAGATGCCATAGTTATTTTAACCACACACACGAATGTTGTACATTTCTCTTATTTCAGGCAATGCTGCATATGGCTT